GAGCCGTCAGCAGCACGTTACTGCAGCAGCACGTCATAGCTGCTGATAGGAACCGCTGTGGTCAACAGAACCTTTTCCACTGGAGCCGTCAGCAGCCGTCAGCAGCGCGAGTCGGCCGCGTCTCAGGAGCAGCATGTTGCGGCCTTTACGCGCCGGTTCTATTTTCTACGCGCGACGCCTCTGAAACGGGCCAAGTTTGACATTTTTGGGGAAGGAAAGACAGGAAATCGGACGCGGAAATGGAGAGAAGCTCCCGAGATTTTCAGAATAAAGAACGTACTGCCTTCCGGTTGCTTTACTTTAAAAAAAGTTACTAACTGTGGGTCCCTGTGAGAAGTTATCACCTAGCTAGCGGTCTCCTTTGTTTTTCAGGTCCGTATTGGCGATTATAAAACGGACAGAACATAAAACACAAACCTTTTGGAGCCATGTTGTAGTTTTCTCCTGCTTGTTGTTGTGTTTACTGACGAAGTCACTCGTGTGACTTCGTGCTCTGTCGGTGACAGCTGCTCCCCTGCTGCTTCGCGTCTCGTGGGAAGGGCCAAGCAGCAGCTTACGCGAGCAAGACGTGCTGCTGCAGTAACGTGCTGCTGACGGCTCCCGTGGAAACCCGGGGTCAGGCTGCTGGGTTTGGAGAGGATGCAGAGATGATGGATCCAGACCGACTCCAAGAAACCTGCAGAAACCCAGATGTGCGGATCGGGGATTTGGCGTTAAGTAGCTGGATCAACCCCGGACTCCTGACAGCAGGCAGACTCCCACAGGGTTAAAGGTCAAAGGTCAGGACTAGAATCACAATCTGCTGCTGCACTCAAAATAAAGTTTTAATGTTTCATTCCGGATTATTTCATCATGTTTTTTATTTGACATTTGAACTTGTTTTTGCTGCTGCAACACAAAATCTTTCAGGGAGACAAAGAATTCATTCATTCATCCATTCATTCAATAAACATATGAAACCATCTAAAATCGCTCAGACAGGATAATTAACTTATTCTCTTTAGGTCTAAAACAAAGGATTATAATCTGGTATTGTGTTGATTTTATGATCTTCTCTTCAGGGGACAGTTTGTTAGAATAAATCTTAGAATTTAAAGTCCAACCAACATGAACTCAGAGTTGATGAAAAGATCTGAGGTTTTAGATGCTGGTGATGAAGGTGTGAACAGATACCTGAGGGTGAAGACAGAGATGATGTAATTACTGATGAGCATCAGATCAGCAAAGGCTTCTTCCTCCTTTAGTGAGGGAATAACAGCTCAGATTAAAGATGGCAGACGTGTCGTTAAAACTCTCAGAAGTTACATGAAGCTGCATTAAATTGGAATTTTATTGCAATAAATGTGTTGAGTAGCAGCAGGTGGAACTGTGTTGCTCTGTGGCTTGGTTCTGGTTCTGTTAGGGTTCTTCTCCGCACCCGGGACTTAAGTGTAAGTTAGCGAGATAAAACACACAGAACTCGACTAGGACTGTAGTAATAACAGATGTCAGGATATAATAATAATAATAATGATTTATTATTATTATTATTTTTTATATATATTTTTTTGTATATTTGTATGCTTTCACTGAAGTGCCAGAATCAATCCATGCTTCTAAGGCAGTTTCGGGGTTAGTTTATGGAAAGCGTCCTGATGATGATATGGGCACTTCCGAGAAGAACAATCTTCTGGATTTCTTGGACTGTTGGGTTTCCAGGAATCTGTTTTGTTCTCTTTTCCAGTCCCTTCTTGATGAGGCCAAGTGCTCCCACTACGACGGGTATTGTTGCTGTCTTCATCCCCCACATTCTTGTGACTTCTATTTCCAGGTCCTTGTACTTTGATAGCTTTCAAGCTCCTTGGTGGTGACATTTTTTTTTCTGATGGGATGGTCATGTCAATCACGAGGCAGGTCTTCTCTTTGTTTTTGATGACTATGTCTGCACTGTTGGCCAAGATTTCTCTGTCTGTGTTGATTGGCATGTCCCACAACACTGTGATGTTGTTGTTTTCAGTCACTGTTGGTGGTTGGTGGTCATACCACTCATCTGCAGCTGGTAGATGGAAATGCTTGCAGATCTTCCAGTGGATATAGCTTGCTGCCCTGTCATGTCTGTGTCATGGTCTGCGTCTGTGTCTTCCCCATGTGTCTCCTTATGTCCTCCATCCCTCTTTAGATTCCCCTTTTGCGTCTCATAGCACCCTCATGTGTCCTTTGTCTGTGTCCATTATGTGTCTTATGTTGGTAGTCCTTTAAGTCAATTCCTCCCAGGTCCTGCGTCATCTCATTCATCCCCAGCCCCTCCAGGTCTCATTTACATTCTGTGTCCTTGTAGTCCCCAGCTTCTTTGTCCCCTGCTCAGTGTTTGTGTGTGGGTGCGTGTGCCCTCCTCTGTTTCTGTTTGCCCATGTTGATCATTAGATTCACCTGTCTTCCCTCCAGCTCTCACTTCACACACCTGCCGCCATTTTCCCTAATCACTTCTCCCTGTGTATATAAGCCCTGTCTTGTCTGTGTCTGGTGTTGGTTCATTGTTGTTTGTTTGTCAGCGTTGTTTAGTGCTCTGTGTGAGCTCCCGTTCCTGTCCCCAGTTTGATATCCAAGTGAGTTTTGTTTTTCAGCTTTCTGGGTTTTTGGATTTTGGCTCCCTGACCTGTTGGATTTATTTTTTTGTGTTTACCCCTACAAATAAAAGTATTTTACTTTATATCAACTCCTGCCTTCGTGTCATCCTGGGTTACTGCATTTTTGGGTCCAAACCATCCTTTAAACGTGACAGTCTGTGGATGTACTCTGTTCTGGCTAGAGTGGGGCAGCCTGAGAGAATGTGGTCAATGGTTTCTACACATGGGGTCTGTTCCATCTTTCATGATCTTGTGGTGGTATGATCTGGTTGACAGGCTCTGGTCTTGTGCTGCTATCAACAATCCTTCAGTTTCTGCCTTCAGTCCTGCACTGCGTAGCCACTGATGAGTATGATCTTGTTCTACGTCTGCTTTTTTTACTCTCAAGGGTTATTGTCCATGCATTGGTTTTTCCTCCCATGTTTCTCTCATCCTCTTTTGGGCCCATTTCTTTGCCTCCCTTCTGGTCCTCTTGGCAAAGCTTGTTACTGTTTCCTTCTCTTTTCTTGCCACATCTGGGATGTTTAGTTCCTGTACATATCTTATAGCTTCTTTTGTAACAGAGTACAGCTTCTTGCGAGCTTCATGTTGACAAACGAGGATCAGTAGGGCATCGTCTGTTGTGTCAAGGTAGGTTTTCAATGCCATTGTTGTTGTTTTGCAAGCCATCTCAAGTTGGGTAAGTTTTCTGCCTACAATCTCTTTGTAGATGCATTCTTTCAACGTCGGCTTTTGGGTGGTGCATTCTTTCAGAAGTCAGCAATTTTCTGGTCTTGGTGTCTAGTTTCTTTACATCTTTAAGTTGCCAGTTGATGATATTAAAACTGTATGTAATTGTTGGAACAGCTAAAATGTTGATGGCTTTGATCTTATTTGCAGCGTTAAGTTCACGCTTGATGACAAGCCTGACTCTTCTGTAATACTCTTTTTTTGACTTTTTCTTTCATGGTAGCATGTTGTATTCCATCTCCTTCATTGACCCCAAGATATTTGTATGTATCCTCTTTATTATTATTATTATTACTATTATTATAATTATTACTATTACTATTATTATTATTATTGTTATTATTATTATTATTGTTATTATTATTATTATTATTATTATTATTATTATTATTATTATTATTATTATCATTATTATTATTATATTAATGTAAATGGAACCTTTTTAAACTAATGTGATTGTTTCTAAGTTTAGGCATCATATTTATAACAAGCAAGTTTGTTCTGAGCTCTCAGAGGTTTTCAAAATCCTCCAGCACTACAAATAACAAGGCAAATATAAGCAACCAGTTACCATGGGAACCCTGAACAGCCACTGGTGGTTTCCATGTGGGCCTGATGGGTCACTGGAAGCAGCTCTAACATTGTCTCTTTGATTCTGCAGATTTTCCCATCTTTGCTGTCCATCCATCTGTTTTACACCCCCCTCCGTGGAGGAATCACGTCTGTGTCACAGATCTACCCCCCCCCCCCCCCCCCCACACACACACACACACACACACACACAGCAGACTTCATCAGTTTAGATAAGTGTAAACGTTAGCTGAGCCTGCGGGGCGCCTGCTCCTGGAACAGTCTGGTCTGGATCTGCCTCCTGCAGCAGCCCAGCAAACCAAACAACCCCCAGCCAGCTTCAGGGAGCTGGATTCCCTCACACACTCCCATCTCACCTGCAGTCGTTTGGCGCTGGTGATGTTTAAACCCAACAGATGTTTACCGTGTGGTTTGGAACAGAGTCTGAAAAAGAAGAAGAAAATATCATTTCTATAGCGCCTCTCAAGATGAAAATCACGAGGCGCTTCACAAAAAAAATGTGAAAATATAAAAAAGCATTTAGAAAATGTTTAAAAATATATTTAAAATGAGCAAAAATAGACAATTGTGATTAAAAAAAATGTTAAGAAAGAAAGAGAGTGGTGAAGAAGGTCATACAAAAGCCAGCTTGAACAAGTGAGTCTTCAGCTGCTTTTTGAAGGAGACCACTGAGTCCACTGATCTCAGGCTCAGGGGGAGAGAGTTCCAGAGTCTGGGGGCCACAGCAGCAAATGATCTGTCACCTTTGGTCTTTAGCCTGGTGTTGCACAACCAGTAGGCTTTGGTCACTGGACCTCAGGGACCTGCTGGGGTTGTAGGGACTGAGAAGATCACCAATGTAAGATGGTGCTTGTCCATGTAAGGCCCTATAGACCAGAACCAGGATCTTGAAATGAACCCTGAAGTTGACTGTCTGGGTCATGTGTTCCATGTTGGTCTCTGGAGTTATTTGTTCTGAGTAAACTTTGTGAACCCCAGCAGGAGCATCTCACACCCTGGCCTTGTAGTGTCTAAAACATCTGTCTGCAGCTGCACGTCTCCTCTTGTTCTGATCAACACGTTGTGTGTTTGTAGAGAGTCCGCTGACGTTCTCAGCTCAGCTGGACAACGCGGTGGAGATGATCAAGGTTCTGAGGAATGGAGGAGCTCATCTGGACTTCAGGGCCAAAGACGGGATGACGGCGCTCCATAAAGCTGTCAGATCCAAGAACCAGATCGTTCTGATGGTAACAAGCGTCCTCCCCTCCTTCCAGCTGTCAGCGCGATGAGATCTGAGAGACGAAACCCTGAAATCTCCAAATGATATTTTGATCTGACAACATTTTGGTTAAGCTTCGATAGTTTGATCAAAGTTTTTAGGGTGATTGAAGCACTTCAGGTTCACAAAGGAGCCGATTTATGAGAGATTTTCATAAAAAATAATCCAGACTTCTAAAACCTAAAATGTGATGAATAATGTAGTTGGGATGTAACAAAACTTATTCCATTTTTACTTTGATAAAGTTTATTATTCATTATTAAAACATAAAGCAGGTAAACTTTGATTAAAATCTCAGGTGTTGTTATAGTTTGTAGGGAGGTCAGAATCAGCCTAACAGATGAGGAGAGCTCCTCCGCATAAGGATCTGGTCAGAAGTCCTCCTGGAAAACCTTTCAGGGCGTGTCCCCCAGGTCCACCCCGGACATCCTAGAGGGATTATACCTGTAGGCCTATGGTCCTCCTGGAGGAGCTGGTGTTATTTTATGGCTGAATAAGAAGTTTAATTCTAGATTAATTCTAGATTAAAAGATTAAAATAACATTGCTCATCTTCATGGGAAGATGCAGACTCCTTCCAGGTGGCGATGAGCCCCCCCCCCATCCCCCCACCCCACCCCCACTGGAGGAGCGAGATGGAGTCCTGGTGTAGAGACCTAAACCTCTGAAGATCATCCTGGACTTCAGAGTGAATGCTGCTCTATATGCTGACGGCTAAATACAAAATGATCTGTTAGGAATTATTATCTAAATAATTTACATGATATTATAACTCAGATTGCCCCAAAACAAATAAAATTTGCGAACCAGAAAAATGTGTTTCTCTCCTGGTGTGGATGTTAAAGTGGGCTGCATTCCACTTCTGATGTTTCCATAAATGAACTGAAGCTCTCTTTAACACACCTAACCATATCATCTGCTGTGAATACATAAATGTGTCCTCTGTCTGACCCCCCCAGGCCCTGCTGGAGCTCGGAGCCTCTCCGGACTACAAGGACAGCCGCGGTCTGACTCCTCTGTACCACAGCGTGGTGGTGGGGGGGGACCCGGCCTGCTGCGAGCTGCTGCTCAACCAGCACGCCTCGGTCTGCTGCCAGGATGAGAACGGCTGGCACGAAGTTCACCAGGTACACACACACACACACACACACACACACACACACACACACACACACACACAGAGGAGGGTTTGGTTCTGCAGCTGGGACCCGGGGGGGGGGGGGGGGGGGTGACTGTTTGGCAGCTGTTCCTCATCTCAGCTGATAAAGCCGTTTGGAGCAATCCGCCTGCAGCAGCTAACCGGGCTTCTTCAGCGCTGCGCTCATGCACCATCAGCTTCATCAGCTTACTTATCTCTGTGCCTGTCGAGCTGCTGAATGTCAGCCTCTCCCCATCTGCCCCGATAACAATCAGCTGTCAGCGAGCAGCACGGCTGCTGCTGCTCACGGTCAGGGTTCTGCCAGTTTCTACTGAACACTTGAGAGGATTCACTGACCCGTTTCTCCTGAAACTTTAAACCAACAACCTAAAATAAAAAAGCTCCCGTTCTGCTTTGTGTTTTTCTTTTTGCACTAAGTTTGTATGACAGGTGGATTCTGTTCCTGCAGCATCATTCTGTTAGGGAAGAAACTCGTGTGGATTTAGTCATCCGTCGGCATGCAGATCGAACTGGTGTTTCCTCCCTGTTAAAGACAGAAAAACCACAAAGTCTATGAAATAACCATGAAATTGACAAATATTTTAATAAAATGAAGATTCACTGAAATAATCTCGTGAAAACCAGATGTTTTTGACTTGGATTAGAAATGGTTCTTTTGCGGCTAGGAGATGGCCTTCTAGCCCTTTGTCCTCTGCTTTCTGTGGGTCATGTCCACTGTGAAGGAGACCCATTAAGACTTTATGAAATCAGAGGGGGGTTACCAAATGTCCTCTTGTGATGTCACAAACAGGGACCTGTAGAATTGGCTTTGCTCAGTCTCATAATTCTTAAAACCAAACTCTGACACAGAACAGCTGATTTCATGTTTGGAGTGTTTGTAACACTAATGCATGAAAGGGTGAATTTAATATAATGTGTCCCCTTTAAGAGCAGACGGACTGATGACCAGACTGGAGACACCTGAGAGGCTGATTACAGGACACACCTGAGTCTAACGTGTCCCTCTGGTCTCTTCTAAGGGTTCCATCGTGAAATTCCAGATCAGTTTGATTCTTTCCTGTTTCTGTTGAGCAACAGTTTAAATGCAACATCTGGATTTCATGAATTGAATTTTAAAATATTTTTATTTCCAGGTAATTTCAGTATTTTTTTAATCCACATCTGATTGCGTGATTCAGCTTTGTTTCGTGTTTTCTGTTTGAACCTTTATGATCCTGTTTGTCGACTCTGCAGTCCTGGACTTATTGTTTTATTTCACCTCATGTTTTTTTAACCCGGATGGTGCTGATGATGACGATGGCGATGATGACGACAGCGCTCCTGTTTAATGAGTGTTTTTTCCTCAGTGCTCCTCTCTTTCATATCATACACAAAGCCCTAGCGTCCTCAGACTTTTAGCATCATAACGATGAAACATCAACAACGTCTACATAATGCAGCTGTACTGTTTTTGTGTGCAACTGCTTTATTACTTCTCCTGCATCATGAACAACTCTTATTTTGTATCTGCATAATACATGGATGCATTTTAGAGGCTTTTCAGCTCTAACGCTAAACCACTGCAGCATTTAAGTTGTTTAGAATATATATGTCATTTTAAAGTTGGGCTAATGATAAAATCTGATTTTAGGGGAGAAGATTGTGACTGCAGGAGTAAAGCCAAGGAGCGGTTTTCCTGGAAGCACCTAAAACCTTCGTTTTAGTAATGAAGAGTTAAATAATGCTGAGGAGATGGAGTGGACATCATTAGACATCGTTAAAATAAAATGTTCTGAGGACTTCAATCATTCTCAACCTTTCTGCGTCCACAAGAGCAGAAACGTTAAACATATCTGCTATTTCTAACTTCATTAAATATCCTGAAGTTTTTATTCAGGTTTTTAACTTAAATTGAAAACTCAATAATGAATCCAGACGTCTGAGATGGTTTATAAAACTGCAGCATCAACGTACAAACGATTATTTAAATTATGTCGTCACTTTCTGCTTTTTGAGCATGCTCTTATTTTGGCGTCTACTTCCTTCCTTCCTTCCTGACTGAAGAACAAATGCAGGCATGCCTTGTGGGGATTTAGAGTCGCTGCAAGTAAAGATGGTAGAATGAGGGGGAAACACAGAGGCGGTGCTAGTACAGGTTTTAGTTATGACCTCGCTGTGCCCTGTTGTTGCATCCAGTTTCCAAGCATCAACACTCCTGAATAAATACATTTAAATTCCCACTGACTTCCTGTTTGCACTTATGGGCCACCATAGCAGCTCTTCTCCACTTTTACAGCAGTTTCAGTCACAGCTAAACTGTAAATTGGCATCTGCAGTCTCTGGGTGTTTAGGCTTTACAAAATAAATCAAACAATCCACTAAAACTTGAAATGCAAAACATGTTCGTAATTAAAGGATCCGACTGTATCCATGGACATTTCATGACCATATGAGGAAAACAACTTTGGTAAAGTCAACACAGACCATAATAAACAGCCTAGTGCTCCAGGCATACTTGATGCTTTTATTTTGTTGTACCACAACACCGCAATGCTATATATTTATCCTGGACCCAACCTCCTTTTCAGTCAGTATAAACAGCTGTTGGTGTGATGATATAAACCTCAGCTCATTTTTAGATGTTTTTATTTTTCAAAAAGTAAAAAAACTAAATAAAAACGTGATGCTCCCAGGTGGAGGTTCAATATTAAATGAAATGGTGCCATAATGAACCAAAGTTCAAACATCTGCTTCACTAAATAAACGGATCAGCTGTTCACACCCCCCGAAACAACCCATTAATCGCTATTTATAATGTAAAATGTTGTTTGTAGCCTTTAAACAGTTATTCACAGAGCCGAAGCCATTTAGTACAAGCAGCTTCTCTCACAGGAACTCGACTCTGAAATCTATTAAATGACTTTTTCTTTATTCTGAGACCTGAAAAGGCGTCTAAAAGGTTCAGATCAAAACACGCAGGAGCTGAATCTATCAGAACTTTTCTAAAGGACAAAACAATCTCATTCTCAAAAGCTTTTATTATCTAAAGTCAAAATCTAATGGAAAACAACTGAACGCACCTGTTTATTCATTTTCATAGTTTGATTTGGTCAAATGGGTGAGAAACTCAACTATGACAGCTAGTAAAAGTTTAGAAATGAACTTTCTTTAGTTAATTTTTATTGAAATAATATTTGTTTCTTTTTTAACTCAAACTAACTCAGATTATGTCTCCTGAAAACACGAATAGTTTTATTATTATTGTTCATTTACTCGTAACATCTGGGCAGGACTAACCTACAAAACATTTAAAATAGAAAATGGCAACATGTGAACAATAAATGTGCAACTATTTCTTACCAGGAATGAGTCTGAGTGGGATGAACACACCTGATGGGTTTTGATCTCCCGTCTGATCGGAGCAGCTGCTGCTGGGCTTCACGTCTTCAGATCTGCAGCAGACTGCCCTCTAGTGTTGGAGCTGCAGTTCTGCACCAGGTCACAGTCAACTCCTCTGTGTGTGTGCAGGCCTGCCGACATGGACACGTGCAACATCTGGAACATCTGCTGTTCTACGGAGCAGACATGAGCGCCCAGAACGCCTCGGGAAATACGGCGCTCCACATCTGTGCCCTCTACAACCAGGTGAGCGGGTAGAGGGTCTAACTCGACTAAAGGTCCTGGGCCAGTTAGCTTCATGACTCCACTGTGGATCATTAAACAGCTGGAGGACTTGCGATGATCCACAGAAATGAAATAAAGTAATAACATCAGATTTAATTGGTAGAGAAAACAAAGTAAAGAGTTTTAGCCGTCAGCGTAACGGGGTTCCGATGGGTGCTTCAGAATGCTTTGATTTTATTTTCACGGTTTTAAAAAGCGTCGCAACCAAAAGTGGAATCAGCCGCAGCAACATTAATGAGACAACCGAATACAAAATATTAGTTATGTGGTTTTCTGTTAGTGCAGGACAAATACCAGCAGAGAAATAAAGTCCTGAAGAGTTCATCGTCACACCTATAAACTTCTACGCATGTCCCGAAGCAGATGACGACCATTTATCCTCGCTGAGATGGTTTAGTGTGTCAGTTATCACCAGCGTGCTGGAAAATCCTGAAAACTTATTTAGAAAATCAGATTTTGGCTAAGGTGTGTGTGTGTGTGTGTGTGTGTGTGTGTGTGTGTGTGTGTGTGTGTGTGTGTGTGTGTGTGTGTGTGTGTGTGTGTGTGTGTGTGTGTGTGTTGGCCTCATGGACTATCAGTGGCGTGTCCAGATCTTTTAACATGGGGTGGCCCAGGTGAGGCACCACTTTGTGCATGGGTGGCACCAATGGTTATGCTTTTTTTGTTTTACCCCCAAGCCTTTTGTGGATGATGAAAAGCCTATTTAAAGATAAATTAGTGTGGTGGCACCTGGGGTGGCCAATCATATTCCAAGGGTGGCATGTGCTACCCCAGGCCACTCCCTGGACACGCCCCTGTGGACTACAGATCAGATCTAAAAGCTCCGCCTCTCATCCTCCTGCTGACTCCTTCATGTTTGTTTACACCTGCAACATCTTTTCTTTCATCCCAGGAGACGAGGTTTCTGTTGATCTCATAACGATCTCCAAGCAAACAATCTCATAAGTCACATGGAGATTGCTGCTGCACACGTTTCTAACTTTATTTGCTCAGATTTAATCATTTTTTTATCCAATTAGTTCTTTTGCTGGTTTTTTTTTTTCATGCAACATCTAAACAAATATTTAACCAGTTATCTGATTCTGACAGTAATCGGATCAATGTAGGGGATGAGAGTCGGCTCCTCCGAGTCTGAGGCCTGGAAAAGGTCAAATGTTCCCCTCCAGGTTGAGAGGAAGACACCGCCTCCATATGAGCATGAGATCTGGTACCCTGGTGTGTTCCTGAGTGATGGTAGGATGGAGGAGAGATGGACCAGTGGATTGGGGTTTTATCTGCTGTAATGAGGGAGTTGATCCATTCTGAAGGATCTGAGCTGAAGGTTCTGGTCCTTCTAAACCCTTATCTGGATCAGGACCATAAGAACCAGACCCTAATAGAAGCAGCTGAAATTATCCTCCTCCAGAGGGTGGCCGGGTTCTACCTTAGAGATGAAAGTGAAGAGCTTCATCTTTCAGGAGGAGCTCAGAGAATAGCTGCTTCTCTTCTACAGGAACTAATAACCGCTCCTGCTGGAGGGATGATGTGCCCTCTCTGGTCAGAAACTTCTGGGTTTCTCTCCTAGACTCCATAACTCCACCATCTGATGATTGGCCAGGTTTCTCCTTCACCTGTTCAGGTGGGTCAGCCTGGCAATATAAGAAACAAACCCTGTTAAGAATCTGATGTAATTGTTTAGTCTGGAATCCGTGTATCGTTCCTTTTTTCCCCATCTTCAATTGAAAACCAAAAACCACAAAAGTGAAAAAGTGAATTTTAATTACTGGTTTTCTAATAATAAGTTCCTTTGTCACATATTTTAGATTTTCGTCTTTGATCAAAAATAGGAAATGGCGAAACGGGTCACTGGTTTGATTTTAATACTTCATGGGTCGGGTTTACATGGATGGGTGTCGTTATCCCAAACAGGATGTGTATCCCTGCGTCAGGAGGAAGCACGGATCAGGTCGATCTCTTATTGATTCCAATCCAATGAGACATGGAATTATGTTTTATTTACACATTAAAGGGGCATTATGGGAGTTTGACAGCCAAAACATGCATAGAAATAATACATTTCTTCTTCATACATTCTCCTGCAATGCCCTGGTCCTGTAGAATGAGCCCTGGCATTTTTACTGTGATTGCCTGTTTTTCTGTAAAATCACAGAAAAAGAGAGATGCTCGGGTCGAGCAGGCTGCTTCATGCGCGTTCACGCTCAGGCATCGCCCGTAGCATTTGCTATCCGTAGCTTTAGCAGCAGAGAGAGAGGCAGTGCCACTTTGTCGCTGTTCCTAACGCCTAGTGATGAACCTAGCTACATTTCTGAGGACCCTTAGCTACTTTCTGTAGAACTTTCTTCTAGATATTTCCATTTTCGCTTCGAACCGTTCTTTGGTTTGACGTTGTTTCATGTGTCATCAAGGATATAAATATTACAGATGCTATGAATACTGGTTACTGGTGTGTAGCTCACCTTGTAAGATGTCTGACTCCCATGCAGAAAACCTGGGTTTGATTCTGGTTGTGAACATAGTTTATTTAGAGTTTCTTTTTTACATTAATGGTATATTTTTTTACAGTAAGATGCCCAAATTTTTATTTGAGACTCGCCGAACGGCATTGAATTCACAGATAAAAAAGATGTGGGTTCAACTTTCATTTTGGAACAAATTTTCAAGCAAGGGAAGGGAATGATCTGAGCGTGCAGGAGGACTGACCCATCATAAACCTTTGTCGGCTGTGCTGAAGAGAAAGGTACAGAACCAAATTATTTAATTAATTAGCTGCGCGTTCTCCTGTCCTCTGTCCTCCGGCACACACACACACACACACACACACACACACACACACACACACACAAAAGGCACTGTCTCAGCTGTTATTTTCATTAAGGAGTGTGCACGTACAGCATGCGCGCCTCGTGTACGAGCCTACTATTGAAGCTGCCGTTACGCTTTTGGCCTGAGGGGGCAATCGCGAGCATAACAATTCAAAAGTCCGTAAAGTCCCTTTAAGTGTTGTTACTTTAGCCTTTACTTTATGGGTGACAACAAAAAATGTTTAATTTGTTATTCTAACGAGTTTCACACGTGGTTATTTCAACAAGCCGAGAGTGTTTCCCTAAGAAGAGACTCATCACATCTAAGTAAACGCCATTCATATAAACAAAAAAAAACACGTTAACAAGTAAACGGATCTGTGTTTGTCTCCAGATGTTCTATAAAAACACTTTTAGCTCTGATCGCTGCTCATCACCGTTAAGTCTCTTCTGTTGGAGACAGAGAAACAAAGAGTCCATCAGCATGACACTTGTTCACTTCAACCCAACCCATTAAAGAGACGATGTGTAGTTTTCACCGTTCGTATCCATCAAAATGTTGTTGAAAATGAATATAAGTATGTCCAGTAGTTGACAAATATTGTCGGCTTTGTAACATATCAGGTCTAAAATACCCGAGAGCAGGCCTAAGTCTCTGGGCGACATAATTTTAGATGGTATTTTTCCTTCTCCAGGCGCCCCGAGGACAAAATTAATTTTCTGATTTGTAACTAATGGTTACTAAACTTTCTGTATTTTATAAACGTTGCTGTTTTACACATTTACCTCTTCGCCAAGGGACTTTTGACCCTAATGGTCATCCGTTGGTAAGTACAAATCTTATTTTATTTATATAGGACTCATCACAGAGAATCACAAATTACTTCGCAGAGATAAAAAAAAATATAAAAATATCATGAAATAAATAAAAATCTGGAAAACAAATTCATTAATTTATAAAATGATCATAAATATCATAAAACTAATGAAAGATGATTACAAATTTGAGTTAAAAAAGAAAACTAAAGATTTAAGTAAAAGCAGCTTTAGATAGAAGGCTCAGCAGACCGTCATTACTACGTAAGGATAAAGGAAGATCATTCCAGAGTCGGGGTGCGACAGCCTGGAAAAAGCGATCTCCTCGACTTTCATATCTGATCTTTGGAACATCTAGAAGGCTCTGGTTTGTGGACCTGAGGGCTCGGGTTGGAGCATAAGCCTTAACAGTTCAGTATTTTTCATCAGAGACCCATTATAGAAAATATGAATGGCATGACCTTTATCTGTGTTTTTGTACCAAAAAGAACAAAATAATCACTTCCGTCATTTTTTGAGTCTCAAATTGAACATGGAAATAAGAAATGATCACGGATTCTCTGAAGCTGCTCTGAGCTTCGTCTCCGTGACTCATAAATGTGAGGCAGCATTGGGTGGAGTTGGTGAGAAAATAGTGAAAACATTTTGATGAAGAAGTATCCCACATGATTCTCGTCCCACGTGTCCTGGGGCGTATCGATTCAGTGGTCTTCATCATCGCATTTCTCAGTGAGATGCTGATTTTACGTTTCTACAAGACAACAAACCAAATTCAAAACATCCAGGAGGCTTCTGTCGGACCTTTGAGATGCAGGAAACTGAGCTATAGGACCACTCCAGGCCGTCCACGCTCTCACAAGAGGAACTTTTAGCTTTTCTGACGTATTTATTGTCAGTGTTTTAGTTTCTCAGATGGATCCAGAGGAATTTTAATAGAATGTTAAAACCTTGGTGGGGTTTAAAAACTCACCGTCAGCACAGGAATTTGCTCCCTTTGCATAAGAATGTCAAAAACCCACGTTCAGGAACACATAAAAAACACGTCGATGGAGTTGTTTTCAGCTGAGGTTTCCATGGTTTCCAGGATAAGTGGGAGGAGCTTCAGCATCATGGGCATCAAAGCTTTGACCTTTCTCTGAGAGTTTTCTCCATCTTGGCTTTTATTTATGCCCTAATATGAAAAGCATATCCAGGATTTGGGCTCCTGACGATGAAAAATGCCACATTCTCAGCTTCAGTGTGAATGTAGCAGCACAGAGAGGGAGCACGTCTTTGGGTTGGCCCCCATCCAGATCCAGGGATAAAAATAACACACTCAAGCATGTCTTAAATAAGAAGTGAAGTGTCTTATGGCAGGAGTCTATGGGATGCAAGCTGCTCTTCCAGATTTCTGCTTGTTCCAGTCTGTGTGTGATTCTCTAACCAACTCTCAATAGCTCATTGTGGATCTATAAAAAGTATTTATATTCATGTATGTGTGCACGGTGCATGCGTGGTTGAGCACTTTGTGGGCGATTTGTGCAGCAGATTCAAACCCCTCAGCTCTCTCCATCGCTCTTCTTCTCTCTCTTTCTGTTTCTCTCACTCCCTCTTTCTCTTCGAGTGGAGCTACAGAAACGCCCTGAACAGGAAGGGAAGCTCCATTCCTGACTTAGCTCTAGATGTTCTGCTGTTTTCTTGTCCTCCTGAGTCAGTGCTGGCATGTTTAGACATTTAAACACTCCGACCGCTGACTTTTCTCACCTTTGGAGCACTCTGAGAACCTCGCCGACATTCCTCCTTCCTGAACAAAGTAGGAGAAGCGAAGGATTCCCGTCCCTGGGATTTTCATTTTTTTTATTTAGCTTTTGTTTTAATTAATTTTGTGTCTTTGTCATTCTCAGGATAACTGTGCCAGAGTGCTACTTGTCCGTGGAGCCGACAAGGAGGTGAAGAACTACAACAGCCAGACTCCATTTCAGGTAGAGTGGCAACAAATTAAAGAAATTATTTTTAAAAAAGTTATAATAACAAAAAAAAACTTATTTGCGGCTGCTTTGTAGGTAATTATAGAGGATTTATTTTCACTTTCAGGAGTGTGAGCAAAACATTTATAGTAACAACACCTTTTCTTCATCTCATTTGTTGCCATGGCAACAGTGCAAAATGGCCAAGGTCAGTTTCATACAGGGATGTGAAATTTTTCATGGCCAGTGATGGAAGTGTTGTAATTAAACTATGTGTATATATGAGCACCAAGTGGGAGTAAAAGAAAATATTGTCTTTTTGTCAATAAAATGTGTAAAACAGGCAGATGTTAGCGGGTTTCTAAAACCGGCCATCCAACATTTGGGTGACATTGATTCACTGAATATAGATAAAAAAATATTCTTGCTAAGTAGCTGCAATAATCAGCCAATTACATTGTATTAGAGTCGATCCCCGTGCACATTAATACACTAGAGTTTTAGTGAGCATAATTATGGGAGCTGGAGCGGCGTGCACGCTTATGCTGCTGGGCTGTGCTTTTAATGGTTGAAGTGTGTGTTCTCGTATCCACACTGGAGGGAAAAGGCCTCACAAACACCAGCAGCTGCCTGGCTGACATGTTCGACTCGTAACCTACGCCTGAGTTACAAAAGAGTTTCATCCAGGCAGGCGTTTACGCAAGGCAGTCCCACGGGGTCCTCGACTGTCCTCCGCATCCACTCGAATGGAGCACGCTTTAAAAATCTTTCTAATTTGGTTCAGGGTTTGGCGTTTGGTGTTTCCACAGATCCAGTTAGCTATAGTTGTTGTTTTGTTTTAAAACAGACTGTATGTTAGCATGTAGAAGCTACATCTGAACAAATTATCTCATAAATGACACTCCCTTGTTTGGACTTTGGCACAGAAATGCTAACAGTTAGCTGCTATAGTTGACTGCTGGTCTGCTAACTAGCTAAAGTCGTTGGTCTCTAGTAGGAATGCATGTGGTAAGTCTAGGACCTAAAATTTACCCACATCACACCTGAGCTTCAGATGGCAAGCTTTATTTTGTTTTTCAAACAGACTATATGTTAGCATGTTGAAGCTACATCTGAACTAATTATCTCATAAATGACACTCGTTTCTGTGCCATTGTTTGGACAATGGCACAGAAATGCTAGTTAGTGGCTATAGTTGACAGCTAGGGAGCCCAAGTCTACTTCCGGACCGTGGGTTCCCAAAAGAACGAAAAAATGAATGCAAGTCAACAGGGCTAAAACTGCTATTTTCTAATTCCGCTTATTTTGTGCCATGGATTTCTCATATGATGGCCGTGAATTTTAAAGACACATTTTGATTCCAAGAAAGCACTTTTTTTTAAAGGGGGTAAACGCTATTTTAGGCTTTGTGTGAAAATAAATCCAGGACTACAAATGGACTGAATGGAATGAAAGTGACGTCATCGAACCAGACACGGAGAAAAACAGAGGGAAAAGGGCTGTAAGTTCAGTGAACTTCAAATTCTTCTTTCAGGAGGAAAGAACCCCCAGAGATCTGGCCGTTTGGTAAGTAGCAGCTATGCTAGGGGAGAGGAGAATCTGTAGTGATGTCACATATGTGACATGCCGATGTCTGGTTTGTAGTTGTTCTAATTACAAACATTTACAAGCTGATAGATCTCGAAGTACGTGACTGGCACGGTCAAAACACACATTAGTTTTTCCTTAAAATAGAAGTATAACATATGTGTGATCCAGGGCATGAAGCAAAGCGGATTAAAAAATAGCCCTTTTAGCACCATTGACTTGCATTAATTTTTTTCATTTTTTCCGGGGACTCATGAGCCGACCGGAAAAGGAGGAGACTTCAGCTCCCTATAGAGCTCCGGACATCACGTGACTCTCAGAGAGTAGATGCCATGTTGGCAGGCAACAAAGGTAAACAAAATGAACGGGATCAGCTTGGATTTTACTCCATCGGAGTTTACTTCACACTTTAAAAGCAAAGAAATTGCTTTATATAGTCAGAAATTAAATAGACTAAACATCTCTGACCCTTACCATGCCCCTGGGGTACTTCTTACAACGTTTTACGTGATGTTTACTTGTTGCTATAAGTAACAAGACAGAAAAAGCCATGCCAAAATAAGTTTAGGAAGCCCACTAAGATTCCTAATAAAAGCATTTAAAATAAATACCATATACAGTTGAGGAAACATTGGTTTAAGTACCTGATATGAAGTGGTCGCTGCATGAGCGAAAACTTTTACTCTCGGGATCCCACAGCTTCATTTTAGCCTGGAGGCTAGCGTGTTTCATTACGATGATCCAACGTTTGCCGCGTTCCGGATCTTGGGGAGTCCTGTAGATGGCTTTTCCCTTATCTCGTCCGCGTCTGTTCTGGCATCCTAGGGCACAACAGGAATCTACCATATTTCCCGTTTGATTGAGTTTTCTGACAATAACAAACAGCCTAGCTGTGGGCTACTGCCTGCCAAGATGGCGCAGTTTGGATTTGAACTGTTGCATGCCGGGAGAAGTGACATCAACTCCCGGAGCTCTATAGTCTTTTAAGGCTAACTAGCTCGAATCTTCCAAGAAAAAAAAAAATCTACTTGTAGCCTACTCACCACACCCGATTTCTAAATCCAACATGGCTGCCTCAAACACAAATTTCCAGGAAGTAGCTTTTTTTCCAGCTTTGGAGTTTAAGATCTTTCAGCAGCAGCCCCCACGTTCATGTCAGGCAGAGTGCAGAGCAGTTGTGAAATGGCTTTTGGTCGGTTGAATCAGGGTTTTGTTGCTTCACCAGCCTGCCTCCAGTGTGAGAGCCCTCTAACTGAGTCAGAAATCTGGACTTGCTAGCTGTTAGCATTCATGTTCTAATATCCACTCAACACGTCTTATTAAATACCGTAAATCCTCTAATAAAGGCCCGGGCCTGTATTTTACTCAAGCTCCAGGCCTTTCTTAGAAGGAGGGCCAGAATTAGAGGCAGGCCTCAATTTCTATTGGAGCAAAATGAACTAATGGTTCGCTGGAGTTTTTGACGATTAAAATTGCGCCCACATTTTCAGAGTTAAACACATTTCTTTTAACAACGGTAGTTTCTGCTTCAGCCCTCCCCCGCGCAGCGGCCGCAAACTCACTGATGCGCCTGCAGCCTCTCAGTTTCTGCTGCTCTAAACATTAAAATAATTATTTCATTTTCTGTTCCTCACTTCTGATTACCTTCACCTGGTGTCTGTTTGTTGCAACCACCAGGTACAAAAACTAACTTGTTTTTATTTGACTATTTTTCTGTCCTGCCTGTTTATTATCTTCCTGCATCTCCTCTCAATCCTAAAGAAAAACTGCTACCTGGGTTCATATATATTCACCTTATGAGTTACCTTTGAACTGCAGTTCTAAAAGATCTACCGACCGCAAAAACAGCGGAGTGCTCGCCGGCCACATCAGTTAGGTGTGTCACCGAGGACAAAACAGGTGATGCGCCCCGATCCACAGCAGCGAAAAGCATCAGGCACAAATAAAACAATAAAGACAGAAAACATAAAAGGAAATGAGCCGAGATGAACGATCGCGTGTTAAATTAGTTTTTGAGGTGGCGACACCTGATTTGATAATGTTACTGTGGCCGTGCTCAGGACGCAGATGTTTGGCGCGCGTCAACAATCAGAGCTTTGCATGTGCAAGCTAGTTAAGGTTAGGATGGGGGTGAGGGAAAGGTTAAATTGCAAGAGGGTAAAGGTCACAATTTGGTTAAATGTCCGTTTTACGGCTGGTGTCAGTACCGACGCTCTGGCACAGCGCGTCGCCTCCCGACGAGCAGGAGCTTGTCACCTGCTGACAGCAGGCTGCTGTCTTTTCCGAGGACTGCATTTTGCCGTTCATTATCACGTGACAGTGACTAGTCGATGACAGGCATAAATAGTCACTATAGAGCGGTGAAGTCGACTAGTGACTAGTTCATACAACCCCTGCTACTGCTCCCCAGAGTCTTCTGCAGCATAATCAGCACGTTCTCTTTGAACTTGATATCAAATTTTCGCCTCCTCTTCGTCTTCGCACGGTTAAAGTTACCCTTGCGGTCTATCACTGGCAAATCAAAAGTGAGACGGATGACACAACCGCCCCCCATACTTGCTTGTTACCACATTCCACCCGGCCACAATAAAAAACCGGCCATTATTCACCTCCGCCGACTCCGACACCGGCCAAAATATGATACCCGTCAATTAATTAAATACAGGCTAATATTAGAGGATTCACGGTACATAAACACCTGCATGTTTATTTATAAAAGGGGTCATTTATATTAATCAGGTATGGGTATAATATCAACACATCATGTAAATATGTCACATTTATTCACACAGACTCGTTTTCATCTGGTTGATGTTATGTAGGATAAACTAGAACATTCAAGATATTATTAAAAGCAAAATTAATAAAATGACACAACCTTGGAAAAATGAAGCATAAAGAAGGTATCAATTATGGCAAAGTATGACAATATCTAATTAGGTTCAGTCTGACCCAGTATAAGAACATGAGGAAGTTGGAGGGTTTTTTTTTTTGGCTTTAAACAATCACAATAACCATATATTTTTGTTATGATTTACATAAATTTTAACATTTTTATTTAGTTTTTCTTTTCCTATTAGCCATTCTGCAAGTTTCTGAACAATGAGCTACAATTAAAATAAAATAAAATTCAAAAAACATTTAGTAAGTCTGGACTGATCTGAATCCATTTGTATAATTATGGGATGGATCCCTCCCACATTTACAGCATAACACTTGTGGAAGCAGAGTTTAGTTTTGTGAGAGGATCTGAGTCACAGAAAAGCATCAGAATGATATATGTGTAATAATTAACACTTCAGCAACATAACATCATAAATGCATCTTAATTCAAGTGGTGTTATTTATAGAAACATGATGAGGCAACAGCATGTGTACCTCCAGTGTTAGCAGCCATGTGCTAACAGATGCTGGTGCAATGCTGGCGT